ATCTCTTCAACGCTAAATCATTTAACTTATCTTTATGTTTAAAATTGGAGATTACGAAACGCGTCAAGTAAATTTCAGTTTAACTCACCCGGAGCTTAATGTAAATTTCAAATGTACATGAAATTTGATTTGATGTTTTTGAATTTTTTTTTTTTAAAAAAAAATATCTTTTTTATTCAGGCGAACGACGACCATGGTTCGAAATTTTGATTACTTTTCTTTTGTCGTATAATTTGACCTTTAGCTCACCTTTTTCGACCATTGGTCTGACAGATTACGTGACAAAACAATTTGATCTAGGTGTCGATGTTCCTCCTGTGGATGAGTGTTTGGAAGATGAAGAGTTTGAAGACATTACCTCGGAATATGAGTTTGACGAACCTAATGACATTACCCCGGCAAATAACGCGGAGTCTTTCCCAGACGATAGATCAAAAAAGCAAGAGTCACAACCAGTGACGGGGCCCGATCCCAAACCTTCGTATAAACAAGCTGATGATTCTAGTTCATTAATAGATTTGATAGATAATGAAGTCGCAAACTATCCATCCATGCCACCATCCGTTACTCAGCCATCGCCATCAATGCTACCACCATCAATGCTACCGCCATCAATGCCACCGCCACCAATACTACCACCATTGATGCAGCCTCAATCATCATCCGACTCACCATCCCCTGGTTCAGCAAGTAAACCACTGAAGAAGCCACATCTGTTAAAACCTCCGCATAGACGGAAAAGAAACTCATCATCACATAATGATGCAATTAGTTGAGTTTTTACTATTGTATTTTTCTGTCTACTAAAACAAAATGCAGGAATATATAAGCATTTAGCAATACTTTACATTAATATGTAGATCCACTTGTTGAAGAAGTAAAGAAATTCGAAGAAACTCCAACTTCACCACAACGACCAAGCGGACCAAGACGCAAAGGTAGAAGAAATGTACCTGGAAATGGTAATGCCTTCTTTTATTCATATATTATACTATGTGGTGTAAATTTTAAGGAAATAGGAAAAACCTGATGATAGTAAAGATCAAGCATAAGGCTTTATACTGACATTAACTATGCTTCTAAATACTATGTTCTGGACAATCGAAACTTTATAGATGCAAGATACAAAACTCAAGTTTACGAATTTACAATTAATGGTAAGAGCTTGCTTTTCTCTTTAATATCGAATTATTGATTGCTAAAAAATTTAATTTGGTACGTAGATATTTTGAATAACTTGGATATTCAATAGAGAAGTAAGATTATCTTTTTTATTTTATCTTATGGCATGTACAGTATTATTATTTGTTAAAGAATTTCTACTAATAAAAAATTTTTTTCATAATAGAATAATTTTATAATTTGCAGCTTAGAACAGACTAAATGTTAATTTAATTGGTAATAATTTACAATAGTAATGTTGATAAACATTCTTTTTATTATTTAATCAATATTGATTTTTAAAAATAATAATTGATTTATTATAATAAATGTATACAAAATTGTTCAGTTTTATAAATAATAAGATTATAAGACTATAATAAAATAATTATATGATAATATATTATTAAATATTAAATATATTTGATGTTAATTATTTTTATATTTTAATTCTTGTTTGATATTAAATAAATCTTTAACCAATTTTTTATTAAACAAAATTCTTAAAATAGTTCAATTCCATAATATAATATCCAGTATATTCAGAATATAAAATATATACAAAATTATAAAAAACAATAATTGTTAATTGAAAATAAAATTTCACAACAAATAAAAATTTTATTAAAGTTTTATAAAATAATTTGTTATTTTGAAATAAATTATTGTAAATTAATGAAATTTGATAACTTCTTAATATCTCTTAATAAAATTTAATTATAGTAAAACTTTGAAAAGAAAATATATTTATTTTTTATATTTTCAATTGTATTTTTTTATTAAGAAAATTTTGTTCCAGAAATATTACTTAATATATGTAACAAAAAACTCTTAAAATATCTTGAATTTTTTTTTTACATTTTTTATATTTTAATATTAATTCTTTAGATAATCATTTTTCTTGTTCTATTAATACTTGTTTAATATCTTTAAATATATTTTGAAATTTTTTATTAAAATATGTTTTTAAAAATACTATTAATTGCAATTAATTATCTAATTTAAAATAAATATATTATATTATTAATTATTTTTCATCTGAATTTAAATTTATTCTATTTGCAATTAAAGTATTCTTACTAAATATGATATAATTATAACTATTATCAAAAAATAAATATAGCTATACAATCTAAATATAATATCTCAAAAATAAAAATTATTTTATTTTTAATTTGCTTTAAAAAATAATCAATTATTTAATAGCTATTTTAATTTGTATCAAATTTTAAGTAATATTATATTTTTTTAAATATATTAAAATATTTTTTTATATTATATTATTTTAAATAAATATATTTATTAATTTTTGTTAGAAATTTATTAATTATTATTAATTTTCTATTTTTTTTTTTATAATAACTTTTTTTATTTTTAGTTTATATTTTATATTTGATATTATTTAAGTAAAAAATATATTTATTATAAATTATAAAAATTCTTTTTTTTCTTTTTCAAATAAATTAAAACATATTTGGCTTATAGATTCATTATTATATTATAATATATATTTTGTATATTCAAATATTTTTTCCAAAAATTCTTTTCTATATTATAAAACATTAACTTTTTTATATTTATTATAATATATATCTTAATAATATTATTAAAACAAATAACCAAGAATCTTAAGACCTGTGGGTCTATAGCACAGTGGTTAGTGCTCCGCAGGTCAGATCTCAAGATAATGGTTCAAATCCTCCAGAG